GAGAGAGAGAGAGAGAGAGAGAGAGGAGAGGTTAATTTGTTTCGAATATGAACGCTGCGCATTATGTTTTGAAACAATGCGAAAGACCACAAAAAGTTAACTTCCGCGATGCATTTTGCAATCTGAAGTCTGAAGTGGAAGACAGTGGAAGTTAGATTTTCAACTTTTCATCAAAGTGTGAAAAATTATTTAAGTGTGTTATTTCTCCGAAATTGTTAGCCGTGAGCGTCCATCCTGAGTATGCCAAGTGACAGTGAGGTGCGATCTTAATTTTTAACGATGAGGCTAGATCTTGACTCTGATATGATATCATTATTATCAATATGTCAATATTGCCCAACAATGATGAGCAAAAAAGCAAGGCAAGACGTGTAGTGCAAAATATTTGGAGTGTGGTCTTTACTTTCTGGGCTTGGGCTTCTATTTTTCACTTTTTTAAGAAACAGAGAAACCGAATTATGTCATGTCTGACAGCTGATAGATTTCTAGTAGAAGCTTGCATACTGAGGCCAGGGGACTGGATGTTGCCCCCCCCCCGTACTTAAGGTGGGGGGGGGGGATACATCTGAAGGCTATCTCGCTCATTAGAGGAGACATTTTTACCACATTTCACATGTATAACAAGCATAGTAAGGAGTCTTAAAATCCGCCATCAAATTTGCGCAAAAAGTTTCATTGCAATGGCTGTAGCGGCCATATTGGATTTTCTTGACAGGTCTTACGCAATGAACACCGCACTTATTTTTCATGGAAATAGATTGTATTTGTTGTTTTTTTTGTTTTTTTAGCAAGCATGTAAAAAACATTAGATCTTAAAAAAATGGCTGTTGAATTATTCCTAAACAGATAAGAAAAATTTTAATGGGTTTTTTTTTCCTTAGGTCATATTCAAGTTTGCAAAAAATCCCTGAAAACCCACAGTCCAGACACCACCAACAAAAAACTATTCCATGAATAAAAAATTCAACTGTCAGAATTTTAGTATTATATCTTCTCTTCATTCTGTGAAAATTTCATCAAGATTGGAAGAAAAATGGTGAAGTTATTCCAAAAAGTATATAGAAAAATCGCGTTTTGAGAAGACGGGCGACACAGAAAAGTAAACGATTGACCTTATGAGGAAGAGGTGGTGACAAACATGCCCGGTTTGGGAAAAAATAGACTTTAGGGGGTTCTAATGCTATGAAATATACCTAAAGTTGTAAGAGAGGCTGAAGAAGCTAAAGATGCATCCAACTCAAAATCCACAATTTTTAGCCGAATTGGGACTTTTGGGTAGTACACCCCTTGTGTCAAGTCTTAGTGTCCATTCTTCATTATTATTAATTCTTTATCTGAATGTGTTATTGTTGTTACTACTTAAACGCCTTCCTTCCTTTACTTGGAAGCACAGCGAGTGGGCCATATCCATTGCGCGTCTATTCCCAAGACTTAACCTTGCATTTGAGACACTATCTTCACGATGCTACAAAAATAAGGTAACACAGCACATTTGAAAACCACACGATCTATGGAAATCACTTCGTTCCCCGATTTATCCTCCTCCCCCC